TTCTCAATCTGAGGCTTTCTGCTGAAGACTATCTCCTTAGACTCCAAACAACTTACAGACTTGAAGACAGAGATGTAGATACTGTGCTCAACAGTTTGTACATGAAGTTTGGGCTAACAAGGCCTGTGTAGTGATTACAAAGACAGTACACATGATTTGCTGTGAAAAGACTGACTGCTAGAGCTTTCATGCTCATGCGCATGGCTACATCATTTATCAAGCATAAGCTTCTTTCATGCAATCCTTCACTATGTGTTTGCAAGGCATTGCATGTGTCATTCATAATGTTTTCATGTGTGGGACCAATATCAAAAGCTTACCAAATATAACTCTATGACTAGAACTGCAAGCACTTTTGTCAAGCAGTGTATGTCAATTGGTTTAAGTTTGCACTTAGTGTTGGTGGCTCACAGTTTGTTGCTGTGTCATCCTGTTCACAACATGCACATGCAATCATGTGCTAAGCCTTCAAGCTTGTGGTTTGTGTTCATGTCAAATTCATCATCATATGCTATAGGCCCACAAGGCCTCACATCATGTGTGTCTTTTGAAGTGTTGGCATTTTCAAGTGTTACATGCACCACCTTATCATGGCATACCATGTTTTAGGCTACACATTCAGCATTCTATGCCATGGATGCTAGGGCTTCCAAACTTAGAAGGTTGGAAGGCCTGAGGAGAAACAACCCTCAGATCACAGCAAGTGCGCTCTCAGAAGTGATTCAAGACATTGAACTCAATGGTCTTCCTGACCTACATTCCAGGAAACATGTGGCTGAAGCCAGAGACTACACAGTGAAAGGTTACAATGCATATGGACCTATGCTGAGTACTACCAATGTTGTTTGCAAGGATGGTGCAGAGAAGCCATTATTGTTTGTGAACTTTCTCACAATGTTACATGCTGCATATCAACAAGGTGGTGGACTGCAAGAGTTGGTGGCCAGGACACTGCCCCAACACCCATGCACTGCACAAAAGCCCTGGAGAATCATATATTACAGTGATGAGGTGGTACCAGGAAATGTGTTAAGTGCAGATGTTAGCAGAAAAGTCCAATGCATATACATTTCCTTTATGGAATTTGGTCCAGTTGCCCTCAGCAAAGAAGAGGCATGGTTTTGCATCATGGCTTGTAGATCAAGTTTTGTTGGAGAACTTGAGTCTGGGATGTCCCAAGTGACACAAGTTATTTTGAATTGCATCCTGCGCCCAGATTCCTGCAATCCCAAAGAAGCAGGGTTCTTGTTGAAAGATCAGGGAGGGTGTACAATTAGAATGTTTTATACACTGGGTGCATTCTTACAAGATGGATCTGCGCACAAGTACATATTCAATCTCAAAGGTGATGCAGGAACAAAGTTCTGCATATTTTGCAGAAATTTGGTTACTTCAAAGTCTGGATTACTACAAGAAGATGGATCCAACACCCTAGTGGCAGATGAATGGGACCTCACAAGGATTCAGCAATCCACTGACCAAGACATTGCTGAAACAATATCAAGACTTGAAGAGAAAAAGGCAACTCTTAACAAAGGAGACTTTGCTTTGTGGCAGCAAGCTGTTGGATTCAACTACAGCATCCATGGTTTACTCCACTGCAGGAGCTTGTCCCAAGATGTTCTCCCAATTTCTCAGTTCATACATGACTGGATGCATTGTTTCTTGGTCACAGGCATTTTCCAAACAATTATGCATTTGTTGCTGGTGGAGCTTGATGGTATGTTTGGCAATGTGTACCCCACCATTGAGCAATGCCTCAGAACCTGGGTCCTGCCAAAGTCAATGACAACACCTTTGGCATCTTTGTTCTCCAAAAAAAGACAGGTTGCAAATGCGAAGGCAAACACTTTCAAATGCACTACATCTGAAGCTATAGGTCTTTTGGGTGTTTTTGGATACTTTCTTATGCAGATTGTCATCCCAAATGCAGAGCAATCTACAAAGGACAAGTGTCAGGTGTTCTTTGCACTTGCAGACATCATTGACTTGATCCAGCTGGTACCCAAGGGAAAGATTACCCCTGCTATGGTTGACAGAGCTGTGACGACATTCCTTTCTCTTTGCATATCATGTGGTTTCAAAGAGAATATGCATACCAAATTTCATTGGTGTCTTCACTTTGGCACTCATCTCCAAAAACATGGTCAACTTCCCAGCTGTTTTGTCCAAGAAAGAAAACATAAGGTTGTAAAGCGATGCTTGGCTATTTCAAGAAAGTGTTTAGTGTTTACTGTGTTGGTTCAATGTTCAACCAATGTCATTATTATCCACCACAGGTTTCATTGACCCTTACCCTGTTAAGGATATGCAACCTCGATCAGCAACACTTTGACCTTTGAAAAAAGTGTACTTTCAGAGCTTATTTGCCATGACCTTGCCAAGCTGAAGGAACCAAACCTCTTTTCAGAGAAGGCAAGGCTTGTCAACAAAGGTGCTGCAAGCAAGGCTTTGAAAGCCATTGTGTTAAATGCCTTTGAGTTGCCTGCTGACACCATTGTGCACAGCTCTTCACAGGCACACCTCCAACCAGCAGGTATTTGCAGCAAAGGTGATTTTTGTTTCCTTCACAGTTCGACCAACAGCCTGCAAGTTTGCCAAGTCTGGATGCATGTGGACATTGACAACATTGCTTACTCTTTGGTTTCCATGCTCGAAGTCCTTCAAGTGGACAAGACTGGATGCTTTGCTACTGTTAGACAGAATGAGATTGCAAAGTTTGTGCATACTTCTTCCTTGGCTTGCACCACTGCACATTCACACTTTGAAAACAAGGACTTCAGAATCCTTGTGCCACTTCAAATGAAGTGAGCAAAAGAGCGCATTCCAGCAGGTTTCAAAACATCCTGGTGGTACTAGTGTGTTCTTGCATGTGTTCTTGCCAGTGTCCTCATGGCACATAGATTTCACATAGCATGTCATTGACTACTTGTTGCAAGCCTGATGGCTTCATGTGGGTGGTTCTCATGCCCCATGCAAGGGCCAATCAGCCAAAGATAGAGTCATGCTACTTCATGGTAAGGTGTGTTCATTTGCATGATCAAGAATTTTGATGCTTAAAGTTTACCTATATTTCACAGAACATGTCATGGACTACTTGTTGCAAGCCTGATGGCTTCATGTGGGTGATTTTCATGTCCCATTCAAGGGCCAACCAGGCCAAAGATAGGTTCATGCTAATTCATGGTAAGATATGTTCGTTTGCATGATCAAGAGTTTTGGTGTTTAAGGTTGTCCATATCAATCAGTGGACATTTGTTGGACTAGCTACTTTGACATAAAACCTGGAGAACAGCTCTTGAGGGGATCTGCAGATGATCCAATGCCAGATGCCTGATAGGCCCAATGAAAGGATCAAGTCCTGGATCTATCATAGAGTGGGCAGGCTCAACCAAAGTGCCATTTGGGAATTCATGGAGGTGCCATTTGGAAGTCCATTTGGGCTAATATAGCTATGCCCCATGCTGTACTGGATTCATTTGGTGGTCAAACCCACTGGCACTCACCAAGTTTAGAGTCCAGCAGAGTGTTCTCCAAATAGCACAATGAGTGATCCAATCTTACACCCATGTCCATCCTCCTATACATACTACACCTGGAACCAAAACCA